GGAGGAGGAAAGCTCAGAAGATGAAGAGGAGGTTGAGACAAAAGGAGATAGTCAGGCAGCAAAGGAAGATGGCAAGGAGGAAGAAAAGAAGGATGCAGAAAGCAGCAGTGAAGCTGAAGCTGAGGAGGTAGAGGGTGGTGAAAAAAAGGGTGCTGATGATGAAGATGGAAAAGTGTTTGACGATGAGGGAAACAAAGACAATGACAACAAGAAAGGAGAAGCGAAGGATTCATCCTCATCAAGCTCTTCATCCAGTAGTAGTTCGGAAAGTGACACTTCGGGTGAGCCCCAATCGGAAGACAATGTGGTTGTGGACAAGGACAAACCACGATCAGACTTGAGACGGTGGTCCAAAAACTTCAGGAAATATCACCTCCCAAAGATTGATCCGAACATGCCCTCTGCACATGCAAGAGCTTTAGCGAGGCTGCTTAAAATGAAACAATTGACAATCCCGGAATGCCTGATGCCATATGTTGGATCAATCATTCCCAAATGTGTGGAGGAGGAGTTGTCCCAGAAGAAGGTGGAACCAAAGGAGAAGCCTGATGTCAAGGCTGAGCTTGCCACTCCAACCCATCGTGTCCGAAGCAAGACATCGCTTGGCAGCTTGGTTCAAAACAACATGGATGGATATGATATGTATTGAAAACTGGTGCCCTATAATGGGAACTTCCGCAACAACCCCCCTTAATTTTGGGAGTGTAGGGTGCCTGTCATCCACCAATAGTTGTGAAGAGTCAGTGGTGCAATTCGCTAGCCCTTAAGGTGTGCCATCGGCAAGTTCAAAGCCAGCGAAGCCACCGCGAGCCAACAAAAAGAAGGCCTCTGGAAAGCTGCCTGCGAAGGAGGCCTCAGCAAATGTGAAATTGATGTCATGATACAAGTTTGCTAGCCATACCCTGGGTTCAGTCTATGTTGTGATGCTAGCAGGATGGTAATGGTGCATCACCTTCAGCTCTCGCCTTCGAGAAGTTTAAGGACCTGAGCTCTTCAACCTATAACATCCTAATTCATCGTGTTCAACAGCTTGCCCTCGAAAAGGCTGGTGGCCCAGTCCCTCTACCAGCCCAACAACTAAAGCTACTAGCGGCCAAAAAAGGTAAAGAACAGCGATCGTGCCTAGAGGCATAATACTAACCAGGGGTTTCAAAACTTGTTGGACCAACCATGGAGTACACTGGGGGATCAGTTTGCAACCTCTGGTACGACACTTTTGTTTTGTTTTTGGAGTCCCCGAGTTGTCTTTGAAGGAGGGCTTTAGTGTGTGTGTGGGGATCCAATCACTTTTCTTCCTCTGATTACCTGGTTGGGCCAATCCAAGGAATTATGAAGTGGTTGGGAAAATCCTGCAGGACGGTTGGAGTGTGGAAATCCGCATCCGCAAGTCGGGCAAGGGCAAAGGCAACTTGTACAAAGTCTGGACATCACCAAAAGGTGTGCAGCACTATACAAAGAAGGGAGCCGATGGCGAAGGGTTTAAAGACCCTGAAGGCAAAGTTGATAAGCTGTTTTACAGTGTGAAGTGCAAACAGCATGATGTCTAGCTTGGTTGGGTGATGATGAGTGTAAATCTATGAAAGCAATATGTTATGCACATGTTTGATGTGTCTTACCCTATCCAGCTCACGTTCATTTTGGACCATTTGGGAACCCCAGTGCTGGTGGCCTGAAATGAAACACGAATTCATCTTGGAACCCAAAGCAAGCCTTCAAATGTTTTGCTGTGAGATTACTTATCGGTGGCCATTGCACGAGGGTTGTTTTCGGGGAATCATTTAGCCTCAGCAGAAGGCTGGGCAACATTCCGCACCAGCATGTGTGAACACGTGGGGTGCTAGTGGGGTTGATGGAAAAATATGGTGCCCTCGACTTCTCTAAACTCACGCAGCCTGCAGCATACATGCATGCAAGTTGCTGGTGCTCTTGGTTCTTGTTTGCGATGTTACTTGGCGAGTTCCAGGCCCAAGGACACCGTGCAGTGTAAGGGCCCAATGAACCCATCTTATCTAGCATTGCTCTTGACCCTGCTGGCTGATGTGGCACTGCCTCCGCAGAGTCAGGCAAATGACTTTGCTACTTGGCACCATGGGCCCAATACGATCGACCTAAGTGCTAAGTTTTATGCATACATCTTCAACCCCTAGAACTCTTAGTAATCCAAGCAACTCTGTTTCCGAGGTTGAAATCTGTGCTGGTGAAGGAAATCTATCCTGTGCCTTTCGCAACTCTGGAATGCAGGGCAAATCGTTCGATGCCCCTCGTCTCATATAGGGATCTGATCTTCAAAACTTGGACGCTTGAAGCTTTTGTGGTGCCTAGATTCGCTATTCGGCAAACCACAACTTGATGAGAACAGTGGGACTTATCACTATTTTGGCGGCAGTTCCTTGGCCAAGTCTTGTGAAGATTTGGGGGTTGTGGCAGTGAAGAT